TTTAGGTCGGGGAACCCCGTTGCCCATTAATATGTTCCAATATAGTGTTACGCCCCAGCAGCGCGTGTCAGTGTAGAACCGCAACGCGCCCGGAGAACGAGTGTCACTGTTTAACTAACTCGTTGACGTTTAGTTGGGACCGCGACAGAATCAGAACTTGAACTGGACGACTATGATACAGTTTATGTTGAAGTTAAAAGTTCCGCCACAGAATTGTGCATTGGCAAACATGCCGTGCAACTGCGGTACTTCCCTGACACTGACTTTCGTCGATAGCAGTTGTCGCTGAGCTGTACGCTACAACTTCGTGTGTGATGTTGCTTGCTGGTCTTGATTACCAGTTAAAATGTTGCTCTTTTGGCGTTGGTAATTTTTATTTGGAACTGAGTAACACCGCAACGTCGCCAGCAGAAACCTGGTATCTCGATGTTGATGGTTGCGGCTGCATAGTAATCGCTGATTTCACTGCTGGTGGATCTTTCGAGAGCCCTTCAAGGTGGTCAACATACATTTAGTTCTCCCAATCGTAGTATTCCATGTGATGTACACCTAACACGCCAAAAATCTTGCCTGACGATTTAAACCGGACAAAAATAGCAGACGAAAATGTGTTTACAAAATAAAAATAGTTCGGTAGCCGATGGAAATACAATGTTTTTTTGCATATTGACCGTGAAAATACCGAAAACATTATTGCATGGGTGATGTGCAAATTAGTTTTTTCAAAATAAGTGACTGGCTAAAGGTACCATTACTGCTGTTCAAATGTCATTTCACTCGGCAAATATATTCATGTACCCCAAGAGAAAAATATCGTACTTCTTAATATTGTTTATTTCTGCTATGTTTCGAAAAACGGTACTCCTAAAGGGACTACTTTGTTTGCTCTCAGACCTCATTTGCATATGAGGTGTGGAAATACCGATTTTGATTTCAGGGACGAATCAAAATAAACTGCAGTACATATGTAATAATAATCAAAACTATATATATTAAATTTGACAGGGACTGTGCCATGCATGCCTTGTTCCTCTTCATTTAGTGATCTCTGATGTCCATGCATCATGATGCCCTTATTCTGGGGCACAGCTTAATCACAGATGATACATTTGTTAAATAATTGTTTTAAAACTAATATGGTTATTTTTCCAAAAATGTAATTAAAACTAGCAAACTACCAGGATGTGTGACCTCCATAGGTCATACTTGAAGGAAATTAATCATTCTTCTGAGAACATGTATATGTATGCATGAACATGTATACATGTATATATTAGAAATTTAATATAAGTAATTATTGTTTTTGTGCATTTCATATTTCTGACTAAAATATTATAGTCACCTGTCATTTTGACACTAATACTGTATAATGTGTTAGATCGAAATCCAGGGAATATTAAAATTTAACTATGTATGTAAGAGTGTATAGTTTCCTGAAATGAATTTGATAAAACCTAGTGAATATTCCGGAACATTAAATCCAATTAAATTACATTATATCAAAAGAAAAATATTCATGCCCAGAACTTGTTAATACATTTTACTTGATCAATATAAATGTTTGATTCAAACCAGAAAAAAATGGGGTCACCAGCTATCTATGGTGGGCATTTTGACTGGTAGGATACTTTTTGTTGTTCTAAATTATTTCAAAAATCTGTTTTAAAAATTATAAAAAATCTTTGTTTTATGCTACGTGTTATATAGAACTCATCTGAAAAGAGTAATTTTTAATAATATTTACCTAATTTTGTCTCAAAATAATAATGTAGCACACAACAGATTGCAGCTTCTTTTCACGATGGATCTATATCTCCATTAAGGTACATATTAAAATGAACATTTTCATAGGATTTATGGACCAACTTTCTCCATTTATGAAAAATGGATTAAATAGGAATCCAGCCCTTAGGGAGTGATATCTTGGTTTATCAATTCCTTGCTTTCAGTTTCCATATTATTGTGAAAAACATGCAACTAGAATAATTGTGCTACATATCCATTATTTCAAGGTATTTTTTTAAATTACAGAGAAACATGGCACAATCAGTGAACAGTTCAGCTGTGTTGCGACTTATGGGAAGAGGTGGTAGTACAACGAGGGGCACAAGAGGGAGCACTCGTGGTGGCAGAGGTAAACTCATTGAATTATTTGATTGTTTGAATTATTTTTTTGATTAATGATTGTCCTCTATTAGATAATATTGTGTGTCATGCATATTCAGACATCTTCTGTCTTAACCCATGCAGTCTTTGCTCATTAGTGTAGCGCATACAATCTTGTAACATAGCAGGTGTCAGAATAAGTTAAAAAAAAGTAAGTATTTTAAAGATACAGCCTACAATAAACAAATTCTGGGCTTTTGGAGATGTTGTACTTAGCAAATATGGTATACTTCATTATTTTCACTGATAAATCCTATAAATTAAATCTACATGAACATGTAAAATAACAATAAAACGCATTGTTTTCTTGACAAAATCATTAAATTAAAACAGTGAGTATGATCAAAACATCAAAATGGTAAAATTAAATGTGTACTTGCCAATATGAATAAATTAACCAAACTTGATGCCAGAGTACCATTCCACTCGTTATTGTGAGACTTTCTCCTTCAGATATTGACCATTTAATAATTAGGTCACACCTGCATTGCTGTTGCAACTATCATTTTCCTCCATACTTTGATATAACACATGGGGGAAAACTAATCGATTACAAAAATTCTAGATTAGAGTCAGCCAATCAATGTCACTGTCACTCACTGGCCGTGTAGGTGAAATTATAGGACAAGTGGATTGAGTTAAGTGTAATTAGCTTAATGCTAAATCTGGCATCTAAGTGGGAAATCCCAAGTTTTTATTTGTGCATTTCAGGAACAACCTGTGTTTGTACATGGAGGTCGCTTTGCATAGAGGCAAAATAACATGATGCACTACTTATAATTAGGACCAGATTAAATTTTACAATTGTTTTTCAGGGCGTGGAAGGGGTGAATTTCAGCGACCATTTGATGAAGAAAGAGAAGGTCCATTCAACAGGACGAGAGAATATAACCGAAGCCAGAGTTGGGATGACAGGTAAAACTTTTTTGTTAAGAGCAACTTTATTTTTTTCTATTGCACTTACATATACCTTGTATTATGATGAAAATGAGTTCTCATATATGAAATCTTGTCATGGCCAGATGTGCAATATGTCAGATCATCCGTACAGTATCCTATCCAGCCTCTCAAGAGTGATCAGCATTGGCAGCTGGTTCTAATATTATATATGTACTGGACTGCGTTAGTGCCCATGCGGTCAAGTGCCCACCTCTTACTTTTGCGCAATTTTTATATTCAGGGTCACATTCGGCAAAGCGCCCACCCCTTCAAAATGCCACTAATTTAAGACTTTTTTTTTGACCATTGCTTAATGAATACTAGAAATCGTTTTTGTACGATACATTTATATGATTTTTGAAAAAAACCTTGTCAATGCCAACATATCGACGTTCACTTCACATCGCATTACCAGAAGTTTGGGGAATTTCTGAAGAATTGCAACCCAGCAAGGTACAACCCAGCATTCTGATTGGTTAATAACAGACTTGACCCATTAAGTCAAAGGATGATTTGGCAGGTCAAATCATGCAAATGCATCATGGCGGAAAGTGTTTTTCATCAAGTGTTTGTATACGATCCAACTCGTTCGTCAGTGGTGATAATGATGAAGATTTTGACTTTGACTGTGTTCCAACAGATTCTAATATTTTTAATCTCGTAAATTTGCGTGATACGTGATTAATATTGTAATAAAATGTGAATATTTTTTGTGACCATTTCTGTTTCTTCATTGTAAAAGTCATTTCATAATTTTATTTTCCCTCAAAGACGTAATATCCCCCTCAATTTGTCACATGGCGAATCAAAATTGTCATTTGCACTCTTTTCCGAAGAGAGTGCTCGGGCAAGCGCCCACCCCTAAAAAAATTATATTTTCTGTGTTGAGGACTCTGGACGTTAACGCGGTCCAGTGCGGTATATTTATGATAAAATCAATATTCAGGAGAAACTAAATATAATAATATAATATGAATTTAAATTTATCCCTAAGGGGCGATCGAAGGTTTGAGAAACATCCATCCAGGGTTGAAGTTCGTGCATTTGAGGATGCAGGTCCACCATCACCACGAAGGTTGGGCAGTATTAGTGACAACTGGAGATCAAGTACAAGTAGTGAAAAGTCTCCGCGGGGAGGTGGGGGAGGAGGAGGAGGAGGAGGTAGTGGTGGAGGAGGAGGAGATGAAGAAGACAGTGGTGGTGATGGTAGCTGGAGAATGGCAGGATCTAGATCTAGTGGAGGAAGTACAAGTAGTGATAAAGAAAGGTTGCCTGATAATTGGCGTACTACCAGTCCAGGTATGTTGTCAACCTTAACTTGTAATCCTTCACCTGTTGGGCATGAACAAAGCTGAAAGTATACTGATTACTCGGTCTTACCAAATATGTATATGTATGTGTCCCTGTTAATTAGCCCCCGCCGGATCTTTGATCAGGGCGGGGGGTATTAATTTGAGTCGTGTCTGTGCATCCGTGTGTGCACATTTTCATGTTACCAGCTTTTTCTCACACATGTGTAATCCAATTCAGTTCAGAATTGGTACAGAGACAGGAATTGATGGTGCTATTATGCACATCAAGTTATTTTTTTCGATTCTTCAAAGTTTCACTCTGTTTTTCTTTGATTTTTAACATTTTTTCTTCATAATCCGACTTTTCTTGAAATTACCAGAGTTTAATCCGAATTTTGATGACGCAAACGCAGTTCTCGTCTCGGTGGAAATCACATTCGTTTTTGTGTGAGGATATTGTATCTTTATTTGTGCAACGCTTATATGGACAAAATTGTGTCTCGTCAATTTCAAAGGTAAGAAACTGTGCTTGTTATGGTATTTATACACTTTGTATTATCGTTTGTGTCTCGGGTTTGGTGATCGTGTGAAACTTTTGCTAACCTGGCGAGAGCTTCGCCAGAAAAACTGCCTTTCTATTATTGTTGTAGGAACTGATTATGTACTGTGTAAGTTGAAAGTTTACATCGTGATTTAAGAGTTTTGCAGTGCTCTCACCGGGATTCAAACGTCGTGGTGGTGTCGGCGCAATGCTGCTCTGAGACGCTTGCCAGACTCTGCCTCGCTCAAAATCATTATTGCCATGCTTGATTTCCGCAACATTTACATTTGTTTATGATTTCCACAGCTATTGTTCTATGATATGCGTCCTCGCTGTTCATAAACAGCCATAAACAAGTTTAGTTGGGTCGGCATGTACTCATTGAAAGTGTTGGTTTATTTACGTAATCCACTGATCACGCCATAGGCGAAGTTAAAAATATGTCGCTTCTCAGAAGAGCTTGCCCACAACGCTAAATGTCCCAAATAAACGTACCGGTACGTTTATTTTTTTCCCAGAAAATTCCACCCGGTACATTCTTATTTGGGACGGTACGTTTATTTATTGTTCTAAATCGGCCCGATAAAAAAAAAATCATGCCTTTTTCCCCCATGAAAAACAAGCCAAAAGATCGATCTGGTCTTCAGTGTTGCTTTCACCATGAGGTCGCTGAACTGTCATATTTAAATGCTTTATGGTAATTTGAGCACATGGGCACCATCCAACATTTTGACTGGTTGATTAGCGACTTGACCTGGTCTGGTCAATAAACACGCCTCGTTCGAAGGATAACATGGCGGATATCGTATCGCTTCGGACGTTAACATGTAACCGAAAACATTTGCTTACGATAAAACTAAGTTGAATTTTACTTGAATTTCATAACAATTCAACGAATTTATTTTTTGTACGTTAATATAATCACTACTGAGTACTAATCAACAATTACAACACTTCGAAAACAAGTAAGCTACCGTACCAACATTTCATGACACCTATTGTAGAACCAAATTAGGGCCTTTCACTCCTCCTTGACGCCTATTTAAACGATTATATGGCATCTTGCTTTTCGCCAGCCACGAATGTCACACTAGACGAACTTGATCAATACTGCCGACCATTCCATGCATTTTTTATCGACGCACGACAGCACGCAAATCAAGAAAAGTATTGTTTTTGCAACAATTTCGCGCATGTGACTGATTTTAATTTTTATTCAACATTAAAACAAACTACAGTAAGTTGTTTTATGGTCGTATAAAAATAAAATAAACTACATTAAGATACAGTAAAGTTAACCAACTAAACAGAATGCTTAATAAAGCTAAATAATATTACAAACACGTATAGAATCACAATAAACTTGTACGATACAGTACAATACAATACTATTGCTAAGGAGTGGAAAATCACATTCACATTAGAGTCATAACTATGGAAAGAATATTTTTATATTTGGTGGAGCTGCTCATATATCATTTGCATACATTTTTGTTTGTATTGTGCAGTTTCCCAGCCAGTCCGACTCAAGTAGTGATTGGTTGCTATTTCATTACATCTTGCAGCCTTTCAAACAGTATATTGCTAGACATGCATCAATTGTTCATGTATATTCCTAATTGCTCAGTGTAAACTGCAATTTCTTTCTGGCTGGTATGAATATATTAAGTAATATTTTCTCGTACTGAAAAGACGATACACAAATATCTTTTTAGCTCCGCTGTCGACTTTGTCGAGCGGAGCTTATCATATGAGTGATTGTCCGTCGTCGTCCGTGTCAATGTTTTACTTTTTCGACTTCTTCTTAAAAACTACAAGCCTGAATGCTTTGATACTTGGTGTATATGTACCTTGGGTAGACCTCTCTCAGATTTGTTCATTTCATGATCATATCTTCAATTCTCTAATTTTGGTGAATATTTTTGTCATTTTTGGTAAAAAGTGATATTTTCGACTTCTTGTTAAAAACTGCAAGTCCAATTGCTTTTATATTACATATATAAGTACTACATGTGGACCTCTCTCAGATTTGTTCATTTTGAAATAATATCTTTAATTCCCTAATTTTGGTGAATATTTTTGTAATTTTTGGTAAAAAGTGATATTTTCGACTTATTGTTAAAAACTGCAAGCCCAATTGCTTTTATATTACATACATGTATATAGGTACTACATGTGGACCTCTTTCAGATTTGTTAATTTCGTTGTGAAATCTTCAATTATTTAATTTTGATGATTATTTTTGTCATTTTTGGGGAAAAGTGATATTTTTGACTTCTTGTTGAAAACCAAGTCAGATTGCTTTTATATTACATATATACGTACTACGTGTGAACTTCTTTCAGATTTGTCCCATTGCTTTTTATATATATATATATATATATATATATATATATATATATATATATATATATATATATATATATTGTTCATTTTCTAATGATATCTTCAGTTCTTTAATTGTAATGTGCATTGCTAACAGCTATCTCAGCCGAGAGGCTGCTTGTTTAATTAAATTTAACAGCTAATGGAAGCACATGCTACAACCTCTGCTTACTTTTGACTAAATGTTTTTTGTTTTTTTTCAGGTGCAGAGCCTGAATTTTTTTCTCAGAAAGCAAAGCTACTGAAACTGCATATATTACAAAAGCATACTATTCGCTGCATGTCTGACAATTGTATGAGGTTTTGCAGGTCATCTTTTTTTTTTCTTTGAGAAGTGCTGTCAACCAAAGTATAAATGTGTTTCTCTGTACATAAAAGTTCAATTTCACACGATTTGTTAATATTAATGTATGATAATAAAAACTTGATAATATTTTTCTGGATTCTTGCACTTTATTAGCTCCGCTGTCGACTTTGTCGAGCGGAGCTTATCATATGAGTGATTGTCTGTCGTCGTCCATGTCAATGTTTTACTTTTTCGACTTCTTCTTGAAAACTACAAGCCTAAATGCTTTGATACTTGGTGTATATGTACCTTGGGTAGACCTCTCTTAGGTTTGTTCATTTCATGTTGATATCTTTAATTCTCTAATTTTGGTGAATATTTTTGTCATTTTTGGTAAAAACTGATATTTTCGACTTCTTGTTAAAAACCGCAAGTGCAATTGCTTTGATATTACATTTATAGGTACTACATGTGGACCTCTCTCAGATTTGTTAATTTTGTAATGATATCTTTAATTCTTTAATTTTGGTGAATATTTTTGTCATTTTTGGTAAAAACTGATATTTTCGACTTCTTGTTAAAAACCGCAAGTCCAATTGCTTTGATACTACATATATAGGTACTACATGTGGACCTCTCTCAGATTTGTTCATTTCGTGATGATATCTTCAATTCTCTAATTTTGGTGAATATTTTTGTCATTTTTGGTAAAAACTGATATTTTCGACTTCTTGTTAAAAACCGCAAGTGCAATTGCTTTGATATTACATATATAGGTACTACATGTGGACCTCTCTCAGTTTTGTTCATTTTGTAATGATATCTTTAATTCTCTAATTTTGGTGAATATTTTTGTCATTTTTGGTAAAAACTGATATTTTCGACTTCTTGTTAAAAACCGCAAGTGCAATTGCTTTGATATTACATATATAGGTACTACATGTGGACCTCTTCTCAGATTTGTTCATTTTGTAATGATATCTTTAATTCTCTAATTTTGGTGAATATTTTTGTCATTTTTGGTAAAAACTGATATTTTCGACTTCTTGTTAAAAACCGCAAGT